GGGGGGGGGGGGGGCTCGTTCTAACTGCAGATCTGAGCAGCCTCAGCACAGGAGGTTCTTTCCTGAAGTCGAGACCTTTCTCCTGCTCACCTGCAGGAGCACTTACAGCTTCTCTCAGGCACATCTGAGTGGCCGGCAGCACCGCCCCTGCATGTTGGGGCCACTGCTGAGAACCAGGGTGACAAGAACCCAAGCGCCGAGACACTGAGATCTGGTCCCTGAGGTGGTTGCTAAGTGATGGGCGGGCAGGGAGCATCTACCGTGTGGGGATGCTGGACAGAGGGGTGATTCACATCCCGAGGGACAGCTCGAATTTCATGACGCAACTCAGAACAGCAGGCAATTTAAAATGTGTGAGATGTTTGTTTTTGGAATTTTCCATTAAATATGTTCATTCCGTGGTTGACCGCGGCTAACTGAAACCCCGGACAAAGCGGATCTACTGTATGTTGAGAAAGGGGGCAGGTGACTCAGGGCAGGGCGGATGGACCTTGTTCTGGGGCCACCTTGCCGGGCACTTCCTGACACTGAGTTTTCACAAAATGAAGGTGGTAAGAGCGGTGTGTGGGGGGAGGAGGGCGGCTGGGAAATGGGGAAACCAAGCAGCTTGTGACTCAGGCCCTCTCCCGCCTCGCGTCAGGCAAGCGCTGCGCAGACAGTGGAGAAACCCATGGAGCTGAAGTGCAGGGCACACAGCTGTGGGGGCCCTGCCAGACACAGGACTCTTAGCAACCCACAATGGAGAAACCCTTCATTTAAAAACCCTCCAAAACTGTTTAAAGTGAATGAAGACAACTGACAAAATTTTGAAGTTGTATAATTTAAAAAACCCTTTAAAAAAGGGTCTATGGCCTGGCTCGTGTGGCTCATTGGTTGAGCATCAACCTATGAACCAGGAGGACCCGGGTTTGAATCCCCATCAGGGCACATGCCCGGGTTGTGGGCTTGATCCCCAGTAGGGGGCGTGCAAGAGGCAGCTGATCAACATCAATGCTTCTATCTCTTCCTCTCTCTAAAAATCAATAAAAACATATTTTAAAAAATAATAAAAAGAGTCTATGATGTAGCTATTCAAATATAGGTTGTAGAGTTTATAGATGAGTCAGAGACATCCTTCCAGCTGACAGTAAAATGAAACCGACATCTAACGCGAGGCCAGCATGCATCTACCTTCTTGAAATAAACGGACAGCTCTAGGTTGCTTTCTGAATAAAAATTGGGCACTAAAAACTTCATGCCCTAAGGGCCTGACTGCTGGCGTAGACCTCCTGCTGTCTCAGAGAAGCATCTGGCCCTCTGAGGATTTCAGACTCTCAAGGTCCTGGGTGGTAGCTGGACACCGCGGGAACTCCCCTGCGCCCAGGCAGGACCTGAGCCCCACCCCCACTCTGTGCTGCAGTCAGAACCCCCAGCCAAACCCAGCGTGAGTCTGCGTGGTGACTCGGGCACACGTCTCCCTGCTGTGGTGTAGCCTGAGAGCTCAGTACTAAAACGAGGATGGGCTATGCCTGAAAGGAATATGCTACCCCGTCAGGGCACAGAAGAACCATATCAGTCATTCTTATACAAGGCACCAAAGAGGGTGCCTGGTCTGTATACGCACCTTTAACCCACACAAACACTGAACAAGTGCGATACAAATCACCCCCACCCCTGCAGAAGGGAAATGTGGGGTGGGGGTGAAGTGATCTGCATGGCACTGTGACCCCAGCCCTGGACTCGGGGATTGGAGCCTGGGGAACTTCCAGTGGCTCCCCCAGCGGGTATCCTGGGGAGGCTGGCCTGGCCTGCAGGCGAGAGGCCCTGGCTGGCTTGGTCCTGCAATGCCTACTTGCCTGTAGATAAAGCCCTCGCTCCCCAGTATGAGCCTCATCAGCCATAAAGGGGCTATTGTGTCCCCATCTGTCCTACTCTTGTTCCATTTCTCAGTTGTTCCAGAGCACGGGGCAGGAACGGGAGCCAGGTTTGTTGGGTTCCCTCAAAAACGCCAAAAGGAAAATATATTTTCATTTTAAATGGGATCTACGTTCAATTTGTCAGCAGTAAAAGTGAATGAAATTGAGTCACAGGTGTACGACGGAATGCGACTGATACATGTTACATGTGCGTGAGTTAGGAGTAAACAGGGCCTTCTACTAAGACTGGACAAGTCCTGGGAGCAGGGACACTGAGGGGGTGACAGGGCCGGTGACAGCAGCCGCAGGGGCCTGACCGATGCTGACAGCGCATGGGGCCTGACCAGACACTCAGGCTACTCAACAGCCACGACTCTACCTCTGCTGAACAATGAAGACCTCTCAGGAAAAGACTCCAATGTTCAGGAAAATACTAACTAGTATTACACTACTCAAGCAACGAACACTTTTATAAAGGTGTAGAAATATTCGGGACACATCTGAAGGCTTTCTTGGTTAAAGCTTGGTGTTCTATGAAAGTGGTCAGGCACAAAACCTTACTCCAGGAGCACAGCCTCGAAACTAAGAAGCCTGCACCCCCAAACCTCGGCACAGAACTCAGGCGACGGCGTGCGCCCCGGTGGCGTGAGCCCTGGCGGCAGGCGTGAAACACTTCAATACCTGGGGTGGGGGGGGCACTGTCTTCCTTCTCTTTTCCGTTTGCACGTTTCTTAAGCGAGCATGGGGTTAATGTTATTAGGGGGAAAAGGTTCCAACAAATTTTCTTGAAAAACAAGCAGAAGGAAGAAAACGCATCCGGTACACCAGGCAGCGACCGACAGCCCTGCGGCTCTGAAGTCTGAGTTAGGACAAAATGAGACGAAAGGAGCCCACCTGCGCCTCGAGCCCGTGCCGCCCCCAGCCCGAGGCCCCTCGCGCAGCCCACCTTGGTGACCTCCACCCGCTGACGGTCGGGGCGTGGATCATTAGTTCTCGGGCGCTGAAGCCGTCTTCGTGCCCAGACGAGCTGACCACGACGAATCCGATCTTGTGGGGCATTCTGTGCACGGGGCTGTTGACAGGAGCAGGAAGCACTTTAATAACGTGTTGTAACAGTGTTGTCGCACTGAAACTGCTGGTTCAAGCCTTGCTGAGGCACAAAGTAATTCACAATGTGTTCAAAACGTTTCCATTACTTTGAAAGGGCCTGGTTTTTTGTTAAGCAATTTTTATAGGAGCCTCTAATTCTACTTCAGGTATTATCATTCAATTCGGCTTTTCCCAAATACATGTCCAAAAAGTCTGACAAGTGTCATGGGTTGAACTGTATTCCCCCCCGCAAAAGTCAAAGTCCCCTGTGCACGTGTTCTTATTTAGAAATAGGGTGTCTGTAGATGTAATGAAAGTTGAAATGAGGTCATGCTGGAGTGGGGTGGCCCTGCTCTGAAATGACAGGTGTCCTTATAAGAAGAGATAGACACACAGACAGAGAGAAGGCCATGGGACAAGGCGTCCACAATCCAAGGAGCACCAGCGATTGCCAGAAAGCACTGGAAGGTGGAAGAGCCAGGGAAGACCCTCCCCAGAGACTTTAGAGGGACCTCGGCCCTGCCCACACTTTGATTTCGGACTTCTAGTCTCCAGAATAAATTGTTTTAAGTCACCCAGTTTGTAGTTCTTTGTTATGGCAAAAATAACGTTTTGGGGTAAGATATAAATACAAAGTTTTTGGTGTTTTTTTAAAAAATCTATTAAGAAACCACCAGTATGTCTGTACGTTTTACAAAAATAAGGGGGGAAGGAGGCTTTATAATCAACAGCACAATAACTGCTAAAGGAAAGTGTATGATCAGAGATGGGGGAGAACTACAGACAAACAGCAGGTACAGAGGCCGACACGCGGCGCCTGGGCGGGTGACTGCCTCCTAGGAGACATTTACGTACATACGGGTTGAGGGCCTTTTTTATGTCATGATTTATTAATGAACAGGGCCGCCCAGCTTATAAGTCATGCAGGCAGGATGTGTCCTCAGCTGTCAGGCAGTCGGGTTCTAAGACCCTCCGCTGAGGTGCTAAGACTTAAAAAGCAGGACCTTGTAAACCCACATGGAGGATGTGCCCAGGATACCACGCTGCCTCAATACATCTTAAACAAGGCACTGGCACTCAGGAGCCGGAGGGGAGACACCCGGGCACAGAAGAGACAACCTCGCTTGGGTCTCTGAAAAGGACTCCCTTTGGTCACCCCCTCCCACCTCGTACCCTGAGGTCCCCCCTCGGGTAAACCTTCAAGGGTTACATGAGATATTGGGGTGTGGCTGAAGGATGCTACTATTAGGATGCTCTGTAAAAATAGTTACATTTTGAGACGGTGGGACGCCCACCGCCCTAGTGCAGGACGACGGTCACCCGGAGCCAGCGCCACACGGCACATGTCCCCAAGGCTCCCTCGCTCCTGGGGCTGGGCCCTCCGGGAAAGGGTGGCCGGGGTTCCTTCCCTCACGTCAGCCTTTCATGTGCATCAGGGCTACTGGTCTCTACGTGGGATGGAAACATTGTAGCAAGCTCCGAACCTGTTGCTACAAGACCGGGAGAGAAAACTTGTTTCCACTTTTCAAGAAACCGTAAACGTTACACAACCAAGTGGTCTTTGGTCCAGGGATCGGAGGCGCTGAGAGCCCCTCGGGGAACGTGGGGGACCGAGGCGGCGGAATGACTAGGGAAGGAGCGGGAGGCGAACGGAGCCTGCCCGGGGCACAGCCGCGCCCCGACTCGGTGCAGCCAGGCCGCGGTTCCGGGCCCGCGACAGCCGCCCGTCCCGCACCGCGAGGCCGCGACACCAGGACGCAGAGTCCCACGTTCAACCNGTCAGGGGCCTGCCCTTCCAGGTGCGGCGCGGGGCGGAGGTCAGGGGCCTGCCCTTCCAGGTGCGGCGCGGGGCGGAGGTCAGGGGCCTGCCCTTCCAGGTGCGGCGCGGGGCGGAGGTCAGGGGCCTGCCCTTCCAGGTGCGGCGCGGGGCGGAGGTCAGGGGCCTGCCCTTCCAGGTGCGGCGCGGGGCGGAGGTCAGGGGCCTGCCCTTCCAGGTGCGGCGCGGGGCGGAGGTCAGGGGCCTGCCCTTCCAGGTGCGGCGCGGGGCGGAGGTCAGGGGCCTGCCCTTCCAGGTGCGGCGCGGGGCGGAGGTCAGGGGCCTGCCCTTCCAGGTGCGGCGCGGGGCGGAGGTCAGGGGCCTGCCCTTCCAGGTGCGGCGCGGGGCGGAGGTCAGGGGCCTGCCCTTCCAGGTGCGGCGCGGGGCGGAGGTCAGGGGCCTGCCCTTCCAGGTGCGGCGCGGGGCGGAGGTCAGGGGCCTGCCCTTCCAGGTGCGGCGCGGGGCGGAGGTCAGGGGCCTGCCCTTCCAGGTGCGGCGCGGGGCGGAGGTCAGGGGCCTGCCCTTCCAGGTGCGGCGCGGGGCGGAGGTCAGGGGCCTGCCCTTCCAGGTGCGGCGCGGGGCGGAGGTCAGGGGCCTGCCCTTCCAGGTGCGGCGCGGGGCGGAGGTCAGGGGCCTGCCCTTCCAGGTGCGGCGCGGGGCGGAGGTCAGGGGCCTGCCCTTCCAGGTGCGGCGCGGGGCGGAGGTCAGGGGCCTGCCCTTCCAGGTGCGGCGCGGGGCGGAGGTCAGGGGCCTGCCCTTCCAGGTGCGGCGCGGGGCGGAGGTCAGGGGCCTGCCCTTCCAGGTGCGGCGCGGGGCGGAGGTCAGGGGCCTGCCCTTCCAGGTGCGGCGCGGGGCGGAGGTCAGGGGCCTGCCCTTCCAGGTGCGGCGCGGGGCGGAGGTCAGGGGCCTGCCCTTCCAGGTGCGGCGCGGGGCGGAGGTCAGGGGCCTGCCCTTCCAGGTGCGGCGCGGGGCGGAGGTCAGGGGCCTGCCCTTCCAGGTGCGGCGCGGGGCGGAGGTCAGGGGCCTGCCCTTCCAGGTGCGGCGCGGGGCGGAGGTCAGGGGCCTGCCCTTCCAGGTGCGGCGCGGGGCGGAGGTCAGGGGCCTGCCCTTCCAGGTGCGGCGCGGGGCGGAGGTCAGGGGCCTGCCCTTCCAGGTGCGGCGCGGGGCGGAGGTCAGGGGCCTGCCCTTCCAGGTGCGGCGCGGGGCGGAGGTCAGGGGCCTGCCCTTCCAGGTGCGGCGCGGGGCGGAGGTCAGGGGCCTGCCCTTCCAGGTGCGGCGCGGGGCGGAGGTCAGGGGCCTGCCCTTCCAGGTGCGGCGCGGGGCGGAGGTCAGGGGCCTGCCCTTCCAGGTGCGGCGCGGGGCGGAGGTCAGGGGCCTGCCCTTCCAGGTGCGGCGCGGGGCGGAGGTCAGGGGCCTGCCCTTCCAGGTGCGGCGCGGGGCGGAGGTCAGGGGCCTGCCCTTCCAGGTGCGGCGCGGGGCGGAGGTCAGGGGCCTGCCCTTCCAGGTGCGGCGCGGGGCGGAGGTCAGGGGCCTGCCCTTCCAGGTGCGGCGCGGGGCGGAGGTCAGGGGCCTGCCCTTCCAGGTGCGGCGCGGGGCGGAGGTCAGGGGCCTGCCCTTCCAGGTGCGGCGCGGGGCGGAGGTCAGGGGCCTGCCCTTCCAGGTGCGGCGCGGGGCGGAGGTCAGGGGCCTGCCCTTCCAGGTGCGGCGCGGGGCGGAGGTCAGGGGCCTGCCCTTCCAGGTGCGGCGCGGGGCGGAGGTCAGGGGCCTGCCCTTCCAGGTGCGGCGCGGGGCGGAGGTCAGGGGCCTGCCCTTCCAGGTGCGGCGCGGGGCGGAGGTCAGGGGCCTGCCCTTCCAGGTGCTGCGGGGCGGGGATCGAGGTGTCAAGGGTCATGGGGTGGGGTGCCAGCCCTTTCGGGGGCGGTGCGACGGGGGTTCGGGGCCTCCACCTGCTGGTCCCCCCGCGGGCGCCCAGAGGCCCTGGATGGGATGGGACAGTCTGTCACTTGTCACCGTCAGTACTGAGTACTGGCGGAGCCCAGTGTGTCCCAAGCCCTGACAGGTGCCCCCTGAGGCGGGGACTGTCCACATGTGTCCTGAGGCTGAGGCCAAGAACCGAGCAGGACCTGGGTGGACACGGGGGCGCACCATCTGGGCTCCCCACGTGGGCTGTCACCAGGTCCAGAACAAAAGCCCCATGAATGGGTGGGAACACGTTCATTTCAGGGACACGAGCCTGTTAGCAGAGCCTTGGAGGGCACACGAGGTGCTGCAGAGTGGATGGGATTGGGGCCCTCGGAACTTGATGCCCGGTGCTCCCCGAGTCTCAGCTCCTGCTCAGGTGCTGACCGGCTTGGGAGGAACTTGGGAGAATCGGAGGTGCTGCTGTCCAGGGTTCATGTGTGTGGGAGACGGTGATGGGGCCCCAGGGTAAAACCATCTTGTCACCATTAGTCCCTTGAGACCTGGAGTCAGGAACTCGCTCCTCCGCTCCTCAGCAGAGCAGAGCAGAGCAGAGCAGAGCAGAGCAGAGCAGAGCAGAGCGCAGGGGGCTTGTGGAGGGGACAGGAGCACACCTTCCCGCTCCTGACCAGAAGGGGCACCGCCGCTCTGGCTTGATTCAGGGACCCTGCCTCCAGTGCATCTCTGCTAACTCCCTGGGAGTTAGGACACAGCCACTGGCCTCTCTGGGACTCAGTTTCCCCTTGTGTAAAAGGGCGAGGCTGGGCTCCGAGGCCTCTGAGGGCCCTGGGGCACGAACGCAGTCGTTCATTCGGCCACCATTCTGACTCCCACTGAATTTGTTTCTGTGGCTGGGCCTGGACCAGGACTGGGGTGTATACATGTGAGGCAGGGCTGGGGCAGGAGTCACCCTAAAAACTCATAAAACTGACCTGTGTGGAGCAACAGGGAGCCAAATCTCTGCTAACGAGCGGTGCTGCGTGCTGGCCACACGTCTGGACAGAGGCCACGCGTCATTTTCAGGGTGATGTTCTCCCAAACTAATCAGTGCCCGGGAAACGAGGGCTCCGAGCCAGTGGGTCCTGACCCTGTCAGGTGGTGCATTTACTGGTTCAGTGGCAGCAGGTGTGCGTCATTTTTGGAAACAGGTTTGGATATTAAGGACCCTCGAGCAGCAGTTAGAAAGGGTCTGTATGGTGCATCCTGCAGAGCGGTGACCACTGTGTGTACCTTTACGTGACTCGTGTTTTGTAACAGCCTGCGGCAGGTGCCCTTGTTCGGACACGCTGATCCCCTAGACACACGCTGTAGTGCCGACGCCGTGTGGAGCGTGATTCTTTAAAACTTTTCTGAGAGCTGCACGTGGAAAGAGCTCACGCTGCTATGATGAGGCGGGCCCGCCCGAGCCCCATAAATAAGCGTCCTGCCCTCTCTCCGCTCCCCCAGGTGCCCGTGGCCGGCTCCCGCCTGTGCCTCTATGAAGACGGCACGGAGCTGACTGCAGATTACTTCCCGAGCGTCCCCGACAACTCGGAGCTCCTGCTGCTCACCGAGGGCCAGGCCTGGCAGGGCTGTAAGTGGTGGGGCCCTTGGAGAGTGGCGGGGAGGCTGGCAGGGCCCTGGGGTGCTGAGGGAAAGTGGGGGGATGGTCGCACAGCTCTGTGAATAACTAAAATCCACTGAGCTGTACACTGTATATGGGAGAATTGGCAGGGCGTGGAAATTAAATCTCAATACAATTATTAAAGAACAAAAAAAAGCCAAGAAAGCAGCCGGCGGTGGCTGGTGGCTGCCGGCTGCCCCGGGCCACGTGCCCACGGCTGCTGGCTGTCCTATTTGCTATTTCAGCCGTCCTGACGGTCGCGCTGTGCCTTCATGTTGTGTCGTAATTCGTATTTACCCGAGGGCTAAAGACACTGACTTCTATAATTGATTTTTAGAGAAAGGATTAGAGAAACGTTGATGAGAAACATGGATTGGCTGCCTCCTGCTCCCCCCCTACTGGGGATCCAGCCTGCGACCTGGGCATGTGCCCTGACCTGGAATCGGACCAGTGACCTCTTGGTTCCTCGGTTGATGCTCAACCGCTGAGCCACACCGCTGGGCTGACCCTCTTTTCTTGTGATCCTTTGGCACCTGTATACAGCCACATGCCACTTACCACGGTCGCTGTCTCATTTGCTTATGAAGAGGAAGGGTCTTTTGTTGGAGCCAGAATTTTAAATTTTGGCCAATTTTTCCATGACTTCCTTTTACGGGTCTGCTTTTGGGGTGAACTCTGAGAGGTTTTCACCCAGCTNTGAAGGCCAATTTTTCCATGACTTCCTTTTACGGGTCTGCTTTTGGGGTGAACTCTGAGAGGTTTTCACCCAGCTATAGGTCCTGAAGATGTTCCCCTCTGTCAGCTGAGGTTGGCAGCTTCCCGGGTGAGGAGGGTAGACGTGGGGAGCCCTTGGGCGGCCGGCAGCCTGTGTCTCCCAGGTGGTGCCTGAGGACTAATGGCTTTTCTGTGTGGCCCCCTCTGGTGGCAGATGTGAGTGACATCAGCCGCTTCCTCAGCGTGTTCCACAAACCGCACGTGGGCGTCATCCAGGCCGCCCGGCAGCTGCTCTCTGACGAGCAGGCCCCGCTGCGGCAGAGGCTCCTGGCCGACCTCCTCAACACCATCAGCGAGAACATCACGGCCGAGACTAGGGCCGAGGACCCGCCCTGGTTCGAAGGTGCCTCTGGAGTCGGGGCCTGGTGGGAGGGCGCCCCAGAGCCAGACACCCCAGGCAAGGCCAGACTCTATTTCAGTTCCCAAATGGGCTCCCCAAAGTAGGGGCCCCCCAGACCAGGGGCTTGCCTCGCTTCTCTGCTCATGGTGGGCTGGACTCCAAGCAGCCCAGGACTGTGGTGAAGCACTGGTTACACACACCTCACCCTCCTAACGTTGCCAAGGGCACAGCTCAGGGTCAGGCACGTTCCCATCGCAGTGCAGCCGTCACCACTGTCAGCTCTAGAATGTTCCATCTTCCCAAACAGAACTTCTGTCCCCATTAAACACTAACTGCCTCCCTCCCCCAGACCCTGGCCCCCACCCTTTGCTTTCTCTCGATGGGCCTGACTCCTCCAGGGGCCTCACAGAAGTGGAACCATAGTGTTTGTCCTTCTGTGTCTGGCTGATTTCACTGAGCCTGACGTCCTCAAGGTCCCTCCACGCTTAGTAGGTCTGAATAATATTCCCCCGTGTAGGTGGCCCACGTCCATGGGCTCCTGGGTGGCCTCCACCTTTTGGATTGGCCTGTGAAGCCAGTCGGAGGTGACCCTGAGAGACTGCAGCTGTCTTGAAAAGGTGGCACCAGGCGGGAGCCCCTGGGTGGCGCCTGAGACCCCCCTGGGGGACCGAAGAGTCCCTGAGATGGGCAGTAACCAGGGATGGTGTGCCCGGCCCTGCAGAATATTTCTCAGAAAAAGCCCTGCCCCACACCTGCACCCCATGGACTGCAGGGCCCCCCCGCCTCCCGGCCCCCCGACCCAGGACAACATGGGCTGCAGGGCCTTCTCTGGCTTCGTCCTGCAGGTCTAGAGTCCCGGTTTAGGGACAAGTCCAGCTACCTGAGATTCAGCTGCGAGAGCAGGATCCGGAGCTACCTGCGAGAGGTAGGCATGATGGGCGGGCGGTGGCTGCTCCCCGCCTGCCCTCTTCCTCGGTCTCTTCCTCTGTCTCTTCCTGGGCAGCAGCAGCCAGTGCTGGGGAGTCGGGGCCGGGTGTCCGGAGCTTGGGTTTGTTGCTTGGCCACCTGTGACCAAAGCTCCATCTGCAGAGAAGCTTCCAGGGTGGGACAGCCAGGGCCTGAACTCGGGCTCCTGAGGGTCATGACCTCACGTGGGCTGGGAGCCGACTGCGGGGTCAGGGCCTCGTGCACTGGCCCTCACGATGTCCTTGGTGTCCTCCAGGCGAGCTCGCACTCCTCCATGGTGGGTGCGCAGGCTCGGGAGGCGTACGTGTGCATCTTGGATGCCATGGGCCAGAAGCTCAGGGCTGCGCGATACAACGGCAGCTACTTCGACAGGGGCGCGAAGGCCGGCGGCCGGCTCTGCACGCCCGAAGGCTGGTTCTCCTGCCAGGTGAGCTGCGCGTCCTCTGCCCTGGGGCTAGCTACCCAGGTGGGTGCTGAGCCTGTCCTCCCGTGGAGGTGGAGAGGATGCTGCCTGGGGCTCTGGGGTCAGTTCCCACTCACTGCGAGGGGAGGGCGGCCAGCAGGCCTTGGACCCTGGGGCTGTTGAAAGGCTGCCGCGCCCGCCCGGAGCTTTGTCTGAGTCTTCGGGGCCTGAGAACCGGCATGTCTGACAGGTTTCTGGGCGGCATTCCTGCTGGCTGGGCACCTCCCACTGACGTGGGTGGAGTCACCCGAGCAGAGCCCTCGCCTGGGCATCAGGGGCCACGGCGCTCCTGGTCCCAGAAGGGACACCAGGAGTTTCTGGACAGCAAGCATTGTCTCCTGGGTCCTGGTCAGCTTTCGTGTGGCAGGGTGCTCAGGGACACCAGGGTTCGTGGCTGCTGTGACGTTTCGGGCAGTAGTTAAGTCCAGCTCCCGGGTGAGTGGTGTCAGCTGGAGGTGGCTCCTCGCAGACGACTGAGTGAGTCACTGAGCACCACTGGGGGTCAGAGCTGGTGACCTTTGTCAGGACAGGTAGGGCTCTTTCCCAGTACCTGCCCGGCCTTCACTGCCGTGGTATGTCAGGTGTGGTCCAGCCTCGAGTGCTGCTGTAACCTGGGGCTGCGGCGAGCTCCCGGCCCTGATAAGCTGGGAGCACGACTGAGGCGGCGCCTCCTGACCCCAGGCCCGCAGATGAGAGGCTCACTTCTGGGCACTTTCTCCTCTCTGCCCAGGGCCCTTTCGACATGGCCAGCTGTGCGTCCAAACACTCCATCAACCCCTACGGGAGCAGGGAGAGCCGTGTCCTCTTCAGCACCTGGAACCTGGACCACGTGTGAGTCCACAGTCAGGGGGCCTGTCTCAGCACCACACCCAGGCCTGCCCCGTGCGCCCCCGGCTCGCCTGCGGGCTTACGCTTCACGTGCCAATCTCACGGGTCCTGGATCCAGAGGCGCACCTGGCGTCCGCGTGGACAGGGCTGCCGGCTGTGCGCTGTGCTCCTGCTGCGGACCGTGTGGCCGCGTGTCTGTCATTCAGCACGGGGCTGTCAGGAGCTGCCCAGGTCCCGTCCGCATCCCTGTGACCTTGCCTGTCCCCCTCTCGCCTGCCTGCCCTGTTCCGTGCACGGGGTCCGTGCTCAGCAGGCCTGCCTCCCAAGGCTGCAGAAGGAGTCGTCTTCCTCGGGCCTGGCCTCTCGGGGGCCCAGTAAGCGGCCGGCACAGGGTACCTCGCGGTGAGCGCGTCCTACCTCGACCGGGATGAGCAAGTCTCGTTTTTATATCCGTACCAGTTCAGCCTACACAGGGCAGAAACGGCACGTTTTTGATGTTCCGAGACATGTTCCTCGCGCCTGCTTCATGACGACAGATCTCCAAGGGCCCCTGAAACTGCCAGCTCACTTTCGGAACCAGCTGTCTTGAAAGTACTCCCTGTCCCTGGGAACCGCTGTGCTGGTTCAGATCCTGACCTCTGCAGGTGCCGTTGGGAGTGGGGGGGCCTCGGGCCACCTCACCCGTGCGTTCTGTGCCCGTGCCCTGTGCCCCGTGCCCCGGCTCGTCTGCAGCAGCGCCCCTGCAGGGTGGCTCTCTGCCCTTGTTTCTGCTGGGCGCCCGGGCTCAGTGGTCCTGAAACAACTGAATTTCTCGCTTGTAGGCCCCCTGCCACGTGTCCACCCAGTTCGCAGGCTTGTGGGGTTAGTGGCCTTCGCACTGTGTGTGCAGAGCAGCGTGGTAACTGCTTGAAGCGGACACAGGCACACACACGGATGAGTCTGAGGTCAGGACCAGGACAGACATCAGACAGAGGAGGGAAACGAGGTGCCGTGGTCGTCAGAGGTGACTTTAGCTTTGTCAGGTTCTACTTGAAAACATGTTCAATATGGTCACATCATTTTTTTTGGTGAATCTACACATACACAAAGCGTGGAAGCAAGTGAGCCAGGTTGGTGGCGACTGCTATGGACTAAGGTCAACTCCCATTTTTTTCTGTGTACTTTTCAGTGTTCAAAAAAAATAGGCACCATCCAGTTTCAGAGAGACACAAACAAAGTTGCCCACATCAGGCCTTGTCCAGCAGGCAAGGCCGCGCTTGGTGATGTGCTGGGTCCAGTCTGTGCAAGAATGTCCCCAAGTGCCTGTCCCGTGCCAGCGCCTGAGCCGTTCTCCTGCCGTCACCACCCAGCTCCTGGGACGTGGCTGAGGGTGGTTTCTTTTGAAATCTTAAGTTTTCTGCTTGTCTTTTCCTGTAAGCAGCCACATGCTGTTCTACGTTTTAGCTGCACCTGAGCAGAAACTGCACGCTAACCGTGTCTATGGTTTGACAGGCCTATAGCGTGGGGGGGTGGCACTGGGAAATGACCATCTGTCACCTCACTTTGCAGAATAGAGAAGAAACGCACGGTCATCCCCACCCTGGTGGAGGCAGTCGAGGGGCAGGCCGGGAGACAGGTGAACTGGGAGTACTTCTACGGCCTGCTCTTTACCTCCGAGAACCTCAAGCTGGTGCACGTCGCCTGCCACAAGAAGACGACCCACAGGCTCAGCTGTGACCCACGCAGGGTGTATCGGTCCCAGGCGAGGCCCAGGAGGCAGCGGGCTGCTCGCAAGCGCCCGTGACCTGGCACACGGTCCCCACGCCGCACCAGGTCTGGTGACGCGCAGGATCTTAACAGGTGCTCTGTTTTAACCCACTGCAATAGCTTCTGAACAAAACTTCTACAAAGCCTCCCTACAGCTTTCTGATCTCAGCACATTCCTGAGTCTGTTTCCTGGGCCCTAGAGCCTGGGGCGAGGACGTTTGATGCACCGGTGGATGTCGGGACCTGGTGTCGGGTTGGCGGGGTCAGGGACCCGTGCCCTCGGATTTCGCCTGCTCTCTGTGCTTGGGTGGCACAGTCCCTATGCTACCCAGCCTCCCAGCCTCATGGCCAAAGCTGGACTCCCCGCCTGAGGGACAGTTTTCCTGCCAGCCCTGCTGGGCCTCCACTCCCCAGCCTCCTCTAGATGCTGCCAAATGCCCAAGTCGTGACCCTCTTGGGGTGAAATGTCCACACTCCTTTGTAAGGAGCCCACAAGGATGTTCACTGCTGTGCCGTAATGGCACAAGGGGGCCCTCCCCTGGCTTGTCAGGAGGGGGTGGCTACCCTGGCACCTTGTTCAACCAATGAAATTGGCCCAACCCTGCAGCGTGTAACCTGCTGTTTATAAAAGGCCACTAGCATGTCACACAGCACATCTGTGAACAGCAGTGATCCTGGGACAGGGTGGGTGTGACGATTACAGGGGACTTTCTAAATCACGCGTTTTACGGTACAGCTGGCCCTGTATCTGGGCTTCCTGTCGCGGCCTGGAACCTCGGACGCGGAGGGCCAACTGCACGCACTGTCCTTCGCCATTTTATATCGGGGACCTGAGCATTTCTGGGTTTCGGCACTGGGGGGGTGTCCTGGGGCCAGTCTCCCTTGGGTACCGAGCAACACTTGAAGTTTTTGAAATGAGCATTTATTTCATAATTTTTTTAAATGTATTTTTTACATTTTAACACTTGAATTTTCACATGTACTGTAGTCAGGAAGAGCAATAAAGTTTTTCATACAGACGCATCAAGAAAGTTTGCACTCATTGTCCTCATGTCCATCTTTTTCAGTAAGGGATCAGTGACTTTTTTTAAACTGATCCCAAATAGTACCTCTCCCCCCAGTGTTTACAGGAATACCTTGGACTGAGCCAGTTGCGTGTGGAGGGTCGGGTCGGGCAGTGCGGGCAGGGACCTGCAGCCTCCGCCCAGGCCCCGCGCGGAGCGGCCGGCCGGCCGGCCTCCACAGAGACATGTTACTGGTTTGTCGTAAAAGGTTAGACTGGGCTCAATGGAAGAGATGCACAGGGCAAGGTAGGCGGCATCGGGCCTGGAGCTTTGTGCCCTGACTCCTCAGGCTCCCCCCCTTTTCCACGTGCTCACTAACCCGGAAGGAAGATTTCCGAAAAGAACAAGGCCCTGTGCTGTCCTCTGAGGTTTTACTGGGGCTTCACAGCGTCTGGACTGGCTAAGTCCTTGGCCATGGCCATGGATGCAACCTACAGCCCTGCCCTCCTCCCGAGGTCCAGGCGTGGGACTGGGTGTCCAATTTAACCGCAAGGCTGGTTCTGGCAACCAGCCCCACCCCGGGGTCCCAGTCACCTCATTAACAGGACACTCCACACTTAGGGAACTCCAGGGGTTCGCACAGCTGTGAGCGGGAAACCAGGGTGATCTTATAAACCACAAGATAGCACCTCCCCCTTGCGTCCCAGGCCCACCCCTCACACAGGAGGAGGGTCTTCCCTCAGGTGGGCAGCCTGGGGCTCGGCTCGGGCTGCGACCGGGTGTTTGGGTGCAGAGGCTGCCCTGGCAGGAGGTAGGGCGGGATTTGCTCCCAAACATTTTAGGAAGGAGTCCAGTTTTAGGGACATAAGACCTCTTAAAAGTATTTTCAAAACATTTTATTTTTCCCCATATGTATCTTGCAAAATTTCCGAGGTACCCTGTGGCTTCATCCACAGAAACAGTTAAGAACTGCCACGGATCAACCACAAGGGTCAAATTCTGACAACGGAACCATGTGCAGTTATCAAAACTAAACAGCTGGGTGGAGTTTCCTCTAGAAACATGTTTACCCCGGGCCTCGGCTGCGTGGAGCCACCCTCCTGTCTGTGCAGACGGAAGACAAGACCCCTCCTGCCAGCAGCAACGGCTTCGCCCCCGAGGATGGCCCGGGCCATGGGGTAGCCTCCCCACAGGAAGTTCGGTTAAGGTCACGTCCTCTTGAGGATGCATTTTATTAAGCCCCGTAACTTGCTAAGCCGTCAGCTGCAGTAAACACGGGAGCGGTGTGCGTCGCTCCTACGTGTCTGCCTCTTCCTCCTCGTCGTCTTTGGCTCTGAAATGCATCTTCCTGAACTCGCGCCTGCTCACCGAAGGGCACGAAGAGGACGCTGGAGGGAGGTCCTGGGGGAGAACAGGCCACCGTCAGTTGGAGCCCTCTGCTCTGCCACAGCTTGGTGCCCGTCTGCAGACCGCGGGGGACCGAGTCGCAGCCCCGCGCTCCACATGAGGACAAGTCCACATGGAGGGAAAGAGGGAGATGAACAAGCCCGGCAGGTGTGGGCCGGCTACTCACAAACCAGACACGACGCCAGGGACCCTGCAGGGAAGTCGGGAGGTGCACAGCCCACAGCCACCTACGTGGAGGGCCCGCGGGGGGACAGGGCCCAGCAGCCACACTCATGGTGCAGGAGTCTGAGCGGGGCGAGGGTGGGGGCGGGCGCAGTGAGGAACCATCTGTCACCTGGCTGAACTCATGACTGCGAACCTGCTGTTGCGCTGCGGTAGTTTCCACGCGCAGCCACCGGGAGAGCAGTCTGCGGAGGAATCCCTGGGGAGGGGAGAGGGCGCCGCAGACATACCTGCATGAACTCCACGTTGCCAAAGAAGCGGCTCACGGGCATTGGCTGGTTGCTGTCGTCATCCAGGAAGACACTGCTGTCCATCTGCAGCAGCGGCGGCCGGACCTGCTCCATCTCCAGCGTGGACCCGCCCCCCGCGGTGGAGCCACTGTCTGACTCTCCTCCGGGAAGGGCTCCAGATAGGCCATCTTCAGTCCTCACGGAGCAAGCGCCACTCACGATGCGGCCGTGACCGAAGGGAAGGCCTGTGGTCTCCCGTGGAGCAGAAGGGCCGGCTTCCCCTCCCTGGGGTGGGAGCGGGGGCACCCGGCTGTCCTCAGCCACCTCCAGGGGCTCATCCCTACACGGGGCCTGCAGGGGCGCTCCGGGCAGGGCAGCACTCTCACTCTTAGGGACCAGCTTCCGTAATTCTGATTTCACAAGCTGACCTTTGTCACACTTGAACTTCTTGGAAGTTCTCTTGTCCGTGGCTTTGTGTGATGGGGGGGTCTGTGGAGGAAAAATGTCAGGGTCACGCAGCGGATGGCAACCAACAGTCCCACCCGAGGCTCATGTCCCTCACATCTTAAACCCTGGAGATGAAGCCCAGCTCCTACATTTGGGTCAGGGTTGGGGCACTGCCTGCCACCCAAGGGACAACTGATAAAACCCTAGACGACCCCCAACCCTGTTTCCACAACAGCCGTTTTCTCTGGGCTATGCATTTCCCGAGGCAAACTCAGGCATGCGTTGACGGGTTACAGACTCCGTTTCCGTTCATTTCTGCAGAACGTGAGTGCTCGGCAAACGCTCACATGACACAAGCTGGCTTGAGCAAGCCGCACACCAGGAGCAAGACTGCTGGCTGCCACTGTCAAACCGAGTCGCAGCCTCAACAAGGCCGGAGAACCCACAGCAACTCTGGGTGAGGGCACGGAACGGGGACACGGGTCCCCTCCCTAGCCCACTCTGCCTTTCTCTCGAAGCCCTTAGGGATGGACAGGAGGGCACTAGGCCACCATCCCTCAAAAGGCTGCACTGAAGGTGACGGGGCCTGGGACTCGTACCCACTGGCGGACAGATGCTCTGAGAGCAGAGCCCTGGATCTGAAGGCACTCACAGCACTGTCACCTGCTGCTCTGGTTCCCACGACAGCACAGCACACCTTGGAATGAGCGCCGTGCAGACACGGACCCCCAAGTCCAGGCCCCGGAGTCTCCCGTCAGAGGCTCACCTGACATACCGTCCTGGTGGACAGGGCGATCCCGACTCCTTGCGCAGAGGTCGACCTGGCTGAGCAGTTCCGGGCTCTCAGGCGCGCTGAAGACCGAACTCCCCCTGTGAGCTGGGCGGAGGCAAGGCTGTCAGACGCTGCGCTCCCGAAACATGGGCAGAGGGGGGATTCCCAACCTGGCAGAGAACCTCAAGTTCTCTCCCCCCATTTTATCTCCTTTACGGAGGACACCTGCAGCCTGAGTGGGAACTGAAAGGACTCTGGATTTAGGGTGCAAGACCTCTCTCCCCACTGTCTTGGAAACTTGGGGTGATTTGTCCCCCATCACATATGTTTCTAGGAACCTCCCTTTGTAAGTTAATCTTTCTGAATGAGCAGCGCACAGCCTTCCTCAGAAGGTCTCAAACTCCCATGTGGTGGACAAGTTCTGGGTAAACAAGCCCCACCAACCCCATAACTCTCTCCGTCAAATTACGGTAGAATTGGTTCTAATTTTATTAGTTTAAAGCAACTAATGCCTGCCTGATAAACTTTAACAGTAAGAAACTGGTCCCCCTCCATTTTACTTTGAATGCTAAAAAAAGTCCTAATAACAAGTAAGTTAATTAAAATGATAAAACTTAAAATAGTTTCATTTAGGAACAGTCTGAGGTTTTGTACACGCCTCACTCAGCCTCCCTGACGTTAAACAACACGGCCCACGGGTCAGGATGAGCAACAAGCCTTGGATGCCACTGCTAACTGAGCTGCAGACTTGTTGGAGTTCAGCTTTTCCTGCGACTCCTCCTTCTGTTCCAAAGTGGATGCCATAGACACTTAGGAGATGCTGGCATTAAGTGATAAAGAGAAGGGGAAATCAAGGGACACTGAGGGTGACAGGCTTGAAAGCTGTCGTCATGACATGCTCTGGAACTGGGAATCCACAAGGGGACAGGTGAAAGGCCACACGCTCAGAAGAAAAGAGACAAAAAAGGAAAGAATCTAGTTTAGGAATTGCTAGTGGCATCTCATCCATCCCTACAGGGCTCCTGGAGGGGCGGCTCACCAGGCTGCAACCATTGCCCCTCCTCTGAGCTCAGCTCCTTGAGCAGGGGTGTCACTGTCACAGTCCCAGCTACACAGAGCCCTGGCTCAGAGATCTTGCCTGGGGGAGGGGCAGCATCCAAACAGAGAGCTCTCAGTCTCTTCCCAAAGGAACTGACTCTGCAGCAACTGTGAAGTGTCAGTGGAGGCCGAGAGGAAAGGCAGCTGGGGTATTGCAGGCAGCTCCTCGCAGGACCAGGGAGCAACACTATGGAAGAGCCCTCCTGGGACCAGAACAACTATCAGGCACTGACCTTAGAAACTATTCCCTGGAAGAAGCCAGAATGGGACTGGATTAGTTTGTGGAGCCATTTATGCCCCAGGCCAGAGCTGAAAACAATTGAGCAATCAGCTAGCAATAGAGGAGTTTACCAGCCTAGTGTGGTCAGAGAGAGGAAGGGAGCCCTCTTAGAAGCGCTGTCATCCCAGGGTGACCGGGCATGCCCAGTGCTGCCCTGTGGGAGGAGAAATAGATTCTAATAGAATAATCTGCTAAGCCACTAAACAAATAAACAGCATACTAACAATAAGCTGGGAGATCAGTACCCAGAGCTGTTACAATATGTTGTCTAAAATGTGCAGTTTCAACAAAAAATTATGCAGCATGCAAGGAAACAAGAAAGCAGGCCCATAAACTGGAATAAAAACAGATAGCACTGCCTGTGAGTGACCAGATCTTGAATATGTCAGAAAAAAGACTTTAAAGTAGCCATTATAAACATGTGAAAACGAGGTAAGAGCCTGGCCGGGCGTGGCTCTGCGGCTGAGCATCAACCTAGGATCTAGGAGATCATGGTATGATTCCTGGTCAGGGCACATGCCTGGGTTGTGTGCTCGATCCCCTGTCAGGGTTGTGTAGGAGGCAGCTGATCAATTAGGACTCTCTCATCATTGATGTTTCTCTCTCTCTCCCCCTCTCCCTGAAATCAATAAAGATTACATATATGTATATATAAAGGGGTCAGAAAAACCATGATTAAAGAAGAAAGATTTGGTAATGTTGCACCAAATAGGAAATATCAATAAAAGATAAAAATTATAATAATGAACCAAATGGAAGTGCTGTAGTTGAAAAACATGACTAAAATAAATTATTCACTAGAGGGGCTCAACAGTAGACATGAATTGGCAGAATAAGAATAAGTGAACTTGCAGACAGACTGACAGATACCCAACCCTGAGAACAGAGAGAAAAAAGAATGAAGGAAAGGAAGAGAGTCTTAGAGAAACGTTGGGCATCACTAATGGGAGGGCCAGGAGGAAAGGGCACAGAGGAGCAGAGAGAGTCAGAGAGATTGTGGCCAGCAGCTCCCCAAATTTACTACAGACCACCACTGACACACCCAGAAACCTAGAAGGACTGAATTCCAAGTAGGGTGAGCGTGAAGAGACCCACAGACACGTCGACACATCAATGCACAGATGCTGAAAGTCAAAGACAAGGAGAAAAATGGAGAAAGCAGCTGGAGGAAAATGACTTCCTACAAGGGAAGCCCCCCAACCAGCAGAAACCGTGCCGGCCACACACACCTCAGCGGGTATATTCCAATATATTCAAAGTTCTCAAAGGGAAAAAAACCTGTCCATCGAGAGTCCTAACGCCCAGCAAAGCTGCCCTTCAATCCTCACCCCCTCTGGGGTGGGCTCCACATCACCCCGTTCTCTGCACATGAGGTAGCTGGGGCCAAGCTGAGATCCCCGGGGCAACAGGGAAATATGAACCCCGAGCTTGGCAGCACCAGAAAAGCCTGGGGTCCAGACCGGTTCTGGAGAGGGAGCCCCCATCCCCATTCTGGGATGTAGCCTGAGAGCCCCCTTCCTGGGAGTATGGCCCGGAACACCCCAGCTTCCTTGAGGCGTGGCTGAGAGCCCCATTCCCGGGAAAGGGGTCTGCAGTCCCCACCTCCAGCCTGCCTTCCAGGGCGAGGCCAGAAAGCGAGGCTCCCTGGGGCGTGGTCCGGAAGCACACCGTCCGGAAGCGTGGTCTGGGAGCCCCTCCCCCTGGGCGTGGTCCGGAAGCCCGCTGCCCGGAGGCGTGACCTGAGCCTCGTCCCCGGGGGCGTGGTCTGCGCACCCCCTTCCCGGGGGCGTGGTCTGCGCGCCCCCTTCCCCGGGGCGTGGTCTTGGGAGCCCGCGCCAGGGGGCGTGGCTCGAGCTTACGGAGGATTCGGCCCAGGCCGAGGTCGCCCCCTGGCCCGAGGCGTCCCCCCTCGGCTCCCCAGGCAACCGGCGGCTGGAGCCCCCGCCTCGGCCAGCGCAGCTCCCGCCCGGCCCCGGCGCCCTCACCTTCCGGCTCCTCATGAGTGTGAGAGGCGCACTGCCGCCCCCAGCACCGCCGCCGAGCCCCCTCGCACCGGCCTAACGCTTTACAGCTCCGCTGCGACCCGCCGGCCTTCGGCGCGCGCTGTGGCGTCTGACGTCACCAGAGGGCTGGCCAATCACAGCCCGGAGTCCTCAGACATGTGACCCAACCAAGTCACCGCGGGCAGCGGCGGGCCCGGGCAGCC